TGTTCTCTGAACGCACTAGATGGTTAGCCTTTGGTAAGTGGATCCGCAAGTACTTGCTTGGTAGTTGGTACTTATATGCTCAATGCTTTCAAAATGATTCTGGATTTTCTCCTTTACAACATATAACTCAATGTCAATGTATTTGGCAGCACACTTGACCTATTGTCTTAGGAGTTAACTACTTTAAATGGTTATTGTTGTTGACTACCATTGTTAAATCTGGGTACTAATTCTCTTAACCTCCTTTTGCCTGTTCCTGAGGCCTTATGACAAGCTATACTATGGTATGCATTATTGATGACACCACAACTGTTTCATTGGAGCTTTTCCACAATAATACTCCAACTGCGAGTGTTAGCAACTACTATAGATTTCACTACACATCTCGCCAAGACTTAACATTTGTACCCTCAACTATTTGAGAGTACTTGTTCTTTCTTACTTAGTATGAGGCCTATGATACTTTGCAAAATTGCAAGACATTCTCAACTCCATTCTAGTGATCTATATCTAGAGTGGACTTCTACCAAAATATCCTGGATAGGTAAACTACGTCAGGGTAAGTTCTTACTTGTACTTGTACACTCATCAAGCTTCCAGCAGCTGAAGCATATGGAACCATGTTTATTTGATCGATCTCATATCGGTTTCTAGAACACTTAAAGTTCCCAAATCTATTACCCTTGACTATAGAAGCGGGCGTAGGTTTACTTGCATGCATACTTTATTTCTTTAGAATCTTTTCTAAGTATGCCTTTGCGATAGTTCTAATACCCTATTTTCTTCTATCTCGGTGAATTTCGATTTCTAGAACCAATGATGCTTCACCAAGATCATTCACATTGAAACTTGAGGATAAAATTTCTTCTTCTTCAATGACAGATTAATATCACTACTAGTGAATAGAATGCCATATATTCACAGGATGCGGAAAATGAATTTTCCATTCTTAAACTCCACGTAAACGCTATTGTCCTTCTCATTTTTTTTAAACCCCAAACTTTCTCTTTGTTTCATCAACTTCAAATACTACTGTCTAGAGACTTACTTTTAACCCATAAATGGATTTCTACAGGCGGCATCCCATACATTCTTTTTCTTCCACGACAAAATCTTTGGGTTGTGCCATGTAAACTTTTCATATAAATCCTCGTTGAGGAATGCCGTCTCTACATCCATCTTATGTAGCCCTAAATCATAATGTGCCATTAACACCATTATGATTCTAAAAGAATCCTTACATAAGACTGGAGAGAAAACTCTCATTGTAATCTATTCATTCTCTTTGCGTAAGCATATTGTCATAAGTCATGCTTTATATCTTTCTACATTCCCTTTGGAGTCACATTTTGTCTTGTAAACCCATTAACAACCTACTATTTTGACTCCATTAGGAATTACTTCTAAGTCCCAAACATCGTTGGTATTCATCGAATTCATTTCAACTTTATAGCTTCTTGCCATTTAAACGAGTAAACGTTTCTCATGGTTTCTTCAAATGAGGTGGGATCACCTTTCATTTGAATTTCTTTACTAACATAGACTTCATAGTCATCAGAAAACTAGTTTACTGATTCTTTGAGACCTTCTAGGGCCTCAGCTACTGGCACTTTCATATGGGCTATTGTTGCTCTTCATTGCCAAGAGGCAATTGATTCTACAAGCTCCTGTATCACAAGATCCTTGTTTATATTATTCATGTTCTTCAAAAAGCCAACAACAGATGTTGTATAAGTCATACAACATCAATAGGTATTGAGAAAATTTGTTGTTTTGAATCACTAAAGTGGGCACGTAGTCCCGCTTCTCTTCAAGTCTTCGGTCTCTACATACCTCTACATACCATGCTTCTCCAGATCTTCCCATCTTTTCTAAAGATAGTGTATCTTCAAATATCTTATTTTGGGTTTAATCTGTTAAAACCTTATATGGCGCTTTAAGCACCACTTTAACATCTTTGAGGCTGACTACGCTATCTTCCTGTCGGAACTTTAAAAGGTCTAGGAATTTAGCTATTTCTCTGTTTAGGGGTATCATTGTTGTGACCGTTGTACTCCTCCAACGGTCGCATTCATCTTAATTAATTTTTATCTCACTCTAAATGAAGAGTATCTTTCTTAATTGATCTTAATATTCTCCCCTCAAAATATGGTATGAACTTTACTGCCATAATTTCGAAAACTATTCAGAAAACCTGTGAACGAGGAGACACTTATAACTTACTTCATTCATATGATTATGTCATGTAAACATAGTTATTTTTTGATCCATTTAGGAGTACTCTTTCCTTATTTCATTTCAAGAACTCAATGAGGTCTTTTATTAGCAGTACTTTTGCAAGTCATGCTTATATCTTTTCTTATCTTTTGGTTAGTATTGACCATGACGATGCATTTCTGTTGTGTCACGGTCAATACTAGGACAGCATAAGAGCTACCCAAACTTCTCTCGCTATGAGGGATACAAAACTTGTGAATCATCACAAAACTTCTTCCGTCATGCAGGATTGACTAGCATAAGTACTATGCCAAAACTTCTTCCCATACGGGATACATCTATACAAAAACTTAGTCATGACGACTAAAATATTCACTTATACTTTATTTTCTAATTAAATCTTCCCGTTGGTTCTAATTTAATCAGAAAATTAGTAAACTAACAAAAATTGTCCTGAACTGGCTTGACCAAGCCTTTTAATTCACATACCCCAGCATTGCAGTCCGTTGGCATGTAGCTGAGTGATCTCGTCGATTAAAAATAAAACATACAATATGCTTCTGCATCAATTCTACATCACCGTAGGGTAGAAAATAAAATTAATGCATAAAACTCATAAATGAACTTGAAATCAATATAACTACTCTTCAAAATTAAATTCTCCCGTTGGTTCAAATTTACCAATGATAGGTTCTATAAGCCCTCTAGGTGCAGATCTAGCGAGTAAAACGTCTTGTTGGTGTATCTTGGTAGCTAGTGTGCCCGCGGCGATGTCGGAGATGAAGTGCAGTGACGGTGACCGACGATGAGGCGAGGTGCAGCGGTCCGGTGGTGGCACTTCCCGCCGCTTCAGCACTCCCTTGATCGGTAGGGTTAGGGTAGTAAGTGGGGATCATGGCGGCTGTAGTAAACCTCACATCTCGAGCCCCAGCCCACACCTCCTATTTATAGTGCTGCACGACGGGGGGCCATCAGCCACTTAGAAAGGCTGAGCGCCCCCTATCAGGGCATGGATCAAGGATCCAATTAGCTGTTGGACCAATTGATGGAGATCACCCTAACATTGCATGCTCCTCACCAGTGGGTGCGCCAACAGCCAAGCCAGGAGCCGCATCCAGAGACACGGAAGCGAGCGTACTGGCTACATCGTCAACTTGGGTGGTGACCTCATCAACTGTGTTCTCCTGCATCTCAGGGACTCCACCAATATCATACCAAGGCAAGGCCAGAATAGGAGGCTAAATCTGAGTGCTTGCAGTGGCTCTGGTGGGATAGGGAGTGGCACGCCTGGTGTTAACTGGACGCAGGAGGCGAAGCAGAGACTTCCCATTCCAGGATAGTGACAACCAGTGCCATGTTCGCTTGACTGATAAGTCATGGCTGAAAGTACTGTTGGCTGATTTGTCGTGAAAAAAAAATATTATTCGTTGGCTGAAAAAGTACGGCTTATAAGCCAAACGAACAGGCATTTGAGTGGGTGGGTTACCGATGGGGTGGAAGTATGGATAGCTAGGAGTGGGCCAAAAGTGTAGTTGGAGAAGTCAGGCATGGGGTTGGCGTCAGCCCAGGTACGGATGAAATAGATTTTAGTGATGCCAACAGGCCCACTCCCATCTTTAGTTGCAGGGTCTTTCAGACTATCTCCAACATAAACAACCCAAACACAATACACATTCAATAGTATAGGTCACCTACAGTGAAAGGGTCACGGACCCAAATCTCGCCTTCTCCAACAGACCCATGACCCAAAGTCTCCTAGCCATAAGTTCACTCGGTAAAAAAAATCTTACCAGCCACCCCCTCCTCCTCACAAAATAGAAGCCGCCCAGTCTCTCTCTCGGTCTTCCCAGGCGGCGGCGGTCGTGGCGACGACGCACCACCATGGGTGGCGCGGCGGCGGCCCCTTCCCCCTCCGCCTCCTTCCTCCCTCCCTCTCTGCTCTCCACCCCCTCTCTCTTTGCCTCTCTCTCTCCACGCGGCGGTGCATTCAGGCGGATAGGACAAGGCGGCAGCGCACCGGTCGGCCAGGCCGGACAACGGCGCGGGCGGCCCGATGACGCCTCTCTCTCTTCCTCTCCCGCTCCCTCTCTCTAGATCTGCGGCCGCATTGGTCAGCCTCCGGCGCACCGGCGTGCCCAGGCCCCCGCGGTGCGCGCATCTCTCTCGCGCGCGCCTTCGCTTTCGGGGTGGCGGCGCGCCATCAGGCCGCGAGCGCAGCCTCCCATTCGGTGCCCGGGACCTCCTGCGGCCGCTGCTCCCATTCAGCGGCGGTGGGGGTGCGGGCTTCGAGCGCAACCTTGCCATGGAGGCGGCGTCCCCGCAGGCGCGACCGACGGCGGGACCTCCCGTGGCCGCAGCTCCCGTTCGGCGGCGGTGGGGGCGCGTGCGGATCCGGGGCCGCCCGCGTCTTCTCAGGTCATACCGCGGCGGCGAGCAGATCTCGCTCGGGCTCCGGTCGTCCCCTTCCCTGTGGTGGTGGGCCTGGCGCATGCGTGGAGACGCAAAGAGACGGAGAAAATACGCTTATTTGGGTTGCTCGTCGCCCACCACGTAAAATAGGTCCTGTGTTTGCCTCCTTTATTGGAGCTGTGTTTTTTACCCTAAAAGACTGTGAAGCACGCATTTTTTTTATATGGGCTCACGTTATGTCTACGCTGTTGGAGACGGCCTCACTTTTTGGTTTTTGCGTCTGCCCTCGTCCGCGTTCTGCCTGTCTCATCCGTCGTGCAGCAGGAGAAGAGCAGCAAGGGTCGGAGAAGCCTCCCCAAGCTTCGCTAATCGCTATGCAGCCCGTCAAGGTGTACGCCGACCGGCGGTCGCAACCCTCCCGAGCTGTCATCATCTTCTGCAGGTATTGCTGTGGCTCCGTTCCGTTCGGTTCCCCTAGTCTCTTCCGGCCGCCGATTATTGATGTCCGCCACCGTCTTGCAGGGTGAACCAGATCGATTTCGAGGAGGTCACGGTGGATCTGTTCAAGTCTCAGCACCTCACCCCCGAATTTAAAAGTACCATCCTCAGACCCTTTCCTGACACTCCCCCACCCCCTTCTTTTTTTTCTGATAGATAGAGATGAGAGAGGGAGAGTTCTTTCACCTTTCTCAAATTCAGCGGCAATTCTGTGTAATATGTAATATTTCGTATTTTCCTTTGTGCTTTCCGTTGCTGTATGGTCTTGCTTGCTTGGGTGACTCTGGGTAAATCATGAAACTCATCTCGTTAGTATTTGCAGTGTTTCTCCATGTATGCTGATACGCTTTTCTCTCTTCATTCAGAAGTAAACCCCATGGGACAGGTACCTGCAATTGTTGATGGAAGATTCAAACTATTTGAAAGGCATACCCTCTCAAATCTTACACCAACTCTCTTGATTTATTATTTGCTTGCTTACCTTCTCAAATTTTGCTGAAAGGCCATCCATGAACAACCACATACAGAGAGTCACAGACTCAATGTGTTTGACTTGACTCTGGCTAAAATGTCTTTACATATTAAATTAGAAGCAGAGGCATTTTTATTTACAAGCTTGAATAGGAACTGCACAACTATCTGATGCCTAAAAGGAAATTTCGAGACCTTCCAATAAATCTGTTTAATTACTTAATGATATAATTAGGATCACCCGGTTACATTACTATTCTATTCTATTATATGCAATTATTTTTGTACATCCTAGTTGTAGCTGTGATACTTGATGTTTTATGATGGAAATTTTCCTTTTGTGACAGTCATGCTATTTTGAGGTATCTTGCATCGGTGTTCCCTGGAGTTGCAGATCACTGGTGCGTTATATATTAGTAGTGACACTAAAGTTATCTTATTTCCACAAGTGTTGCTTTATCTTTTTTATTTTTATGAATATTATGCCTTTTTATCGGCGTTGTTTTACATAATAGTAATGACACTGAGTATGTGTTTGGTTCTCAATGTAGCTGTGGCCGTTTTTTATGTGTCACAAGTACTTTTAGTCTTAGTTGGAGTCTTTTAACCATTGGATCGTTCAAGTTAAATGCGAGTATAATAATTAATTAGTAACATTTTAGATTAGATACCACTAGGGTTCGAATCAAGAGGACAACAATGTAGTGACCTCTCAATTATAGGTTCCCTACCCGTCGAATGTCCTCTATAAACAGAGTCTCTCTCTCTCTGCACACATATTAAAGGTTAAACAGTGTCGTGAAAACTCAAAAGTACCGCACCCCTCCCTCCGATGCCCTCTTCTCCCTCTCCAATGAATCTAAACCTATAACAGATAGATCATTAGAATATCTTAGTTTTCTATAACAGGGGATAATGTTCGAAGCATATTGTTTTGTGGAGGGTGACTATTTCAGTTTTGTAAGAAGTGTTAGGCGCTAGGTGGCAGTAGGGTGCTGTACTGCTGTCCAGCACCTAATCCCCAATTGGGTAGTGGGTACTAGGTGCCTAGGCAAGAGGGTGCTGTCTAGATTGCCTAGGTGGCAGATTCTCTTGAAATGTTGTGTTTTCATGGCTTTACTGGGACATGATAATGTACTAGTCTGTTGTGATGAGAATTATATACATCTTTTTTGGTAATTTTATAGTGACTGTGATATCTTTTTTGATATAGGTATCCTGCTGACTTGTTCACTAGAGCCAAAATTGAGTCAATCTTGGATTGGCATCACACAAATTTGCGTCGTGGTGCAGGTGAGATCCAGCATTACTCATGGTTGGTTCCTCTAGGATATTGTGGCGAAATCATTCACCATGTAGGTTGCTTGGTTTGCATTCAATGATGGATTAGTTCATAATCGGGTCATCCCATATTTTCCTTATTTTTGTACCAGCCTGGTGCTTATAAGAGACACGTTGATTGTAGACCAGCCCATTCTATTCCTCAAGCTGAACAAGTGGGTTATGCTTGGAGTTGGCATTGAATGCTTATTGACCATTGTTTTCCTCAAAGCAGAACCTTAGATGTGTTTACTAGAGATTATGCCAATTGAGTTTACCTGTTAGTGAAATGGAGCGATGCTTCAATCAAACCTGTAATAAGAGCATCTACATATTCTACAGCCACATAATCACATATATAAATTTGTCTCAACTAAAATACCAAGGAATGTTATGTGGTGAGCTTTGGACAAACATAAAGTCTCAATGAAGTACGTCGGGCTCATTAAGGACATGTACAATAATGTTGTGACTAGTGTTCGAATAAATGATGAAGACACGGATGACTTTCCGATTAGGATAGGACTACATAAGGGCCAGCTTTGAGCCCTTATCTGTTTGCCTTAGTGATGGATGAGGTCACAAGGGACATACAAGGGGACATCCCTTGGTGTATGCTTTTCGCGGACGATGTAGTGCTAGTTGATGAAAGCCGGACATGAGTGAATCAGAAACTGTAGTTATGGTGGGAGATTTTGGAGTCCAAAGGTTTTAGACTCACTAGAACTAAAACTGAGTATATGAGATGTGACTTCGGCGCTACTACTCAGGAGGAGGAAGATATTAATTTGGAAGGTCAAGTAGTGCCTAGGAAGGATACATTTCGATATTTAGGATCATTGCTACAGAGAGACGGGGATATCGATGAAGATGTTAGCCATAGAATCAAAGCAGGGTGGATGAAGTGGCGCCAAGCATCTGGTGTCCTATGTGACAAAAGGGTACCACAGAAGCTAAAAGACAAGTTTTATAGGACGGCGAGTAGACATGCCATGTTGTATAGTGCATAATGTTGGCCTACGAAAAGACGACATGTTTAACAGATAAGTGTCGCGGAAATGCGTATGTTGCGTTGGATTTGCGGTCATACAAGAAGGGATCGAGTTCGGAACGATAATATACGTGATAGATTAGGGGTAGCACCAATCGAAGAAAAGCTTGTCCAACACCGGTTGAGAAGGTTTGGATATGTCCAACGGAGACCTCCAGAGGCACCGGTGAGTAGTGGAATCCTAAGCCAGGATAGTAACGTGAAGAGAGGCAGAGGATGACCGAAGTTGACTTGGGTAGAGGCAATAAAAGAAGACTTGAAATGATAGAATATACCCAAAGACTTAGCCTTAGATAGGAGTGCTTGGAAAACAGCTATTCACGTGTCTGAACCTTGATTGCTTCTGTTGTGTTTCAACTCTAGCCTATCTTAATTTGTTTGGGACTTAAAGGCTTTGTTGTTGTTGTTGTAATAAGCCCACTAGATTGTTTGTACGTGTGCAGCAACCCTTGTACAGCACACTGCATTGGCTCCCTTTCTTGGTCTTACGACAAGCCCTGAGGCTGTAGAACAAGCAGAGAAACTTCTAATGCAGTCACTGGGGGTGATTGAATCGTTGTGGCTGAAAGGTGATGCAAAGTTCTTGCTAGGTAACCCCCAGCCATCGATTGCAGATCTGAGCCTTGTTTGTGAGATAATGCAATTGGAGGTATGCCTGTTTCCTGCTGTTGCTATCTAGAGTGTAATGAGATTTTTTTTGCTTAAAAACTGCAATGTGGTTTTGCAGATCCTTGGCGATGAGGTCTGTGACCGATTTCTGGGAGCTCATGAGAAGATCCTCATCTGGATGGATAACGTGAGGAAAACCACGAGCCCTCATTTTGAGGAAGCCCACGAGCTCCTTTTCCAAGTGAAGGCACGCATGCTGCAAAGCAAGGCTGCCGCATCAAACCAGGCTTTTGAGCCAAGCACAAAGCTCAAAATAGCATCGAAGCTCTGACCAAGGGGGGCAAGGGTTGTGCTTGTTCAGTTGTTCTAGTTCTAGGGTTGAAGCCTTGAAGGTGAACATACTGTTGTAAGTATATAGAGTACTCCAGACCTCGAGGGAAAGCAGAATAAGCGACAGGAAGAGCTATGAACATTGTTGTGCACTGTGTGGATCAAGTAACCCACCACCCTACCGAATGGGTTCCTTTCGTTATGGAAAGAGAGCAAAACTGGACTTGTATATGAGAATTGGTTATTCATTCACAAATGTACGATGGTTCCTACTAGAGCATCTGTAGCTGAATGGATAATATTAAGTGCAAACCACATCTTTAGTGCAATCCATAAAAACCCCAATAAAACCATACTTTGCAGTTTTCAAAAAAAAAATTAAAACTATACACACCAATAGTGCATCTGTAGATGTGCATTGTCACAAAATTTGAGATTCAAACTCATTTTGCAAAAAAATCATATGAGAATAACAAATTTCATTTGTATATGCACTAGAGGACAAAATTTCCTGGCTGAATCATTATTTACTTGCTTAACATAGTCATGCATCATTTGGGTTTAATAATAATTATTATTATATCTATTTGGATTTGGAAATAATAATTATTATATCTATTTGAACTCCGTCTATGGTGGGGCGCTTTTGGTGTCCCAGCGTAGCAGGTCCCAAACCTTGGTAAAGAAGGAGGGTTATGTTAGGTGCGGCGGGCCAATGTAAAAACTTAGCCACTTTTATAGAGATAAAACACAAAAGAATCTCGTTGGGGCGTAACCCTCCTAGCGACACGCCATGTTGGAACCCGGGTATGGTGTTAAATGAGCAAGGGTCGGATCGTCACCCTCGTGACGCGTTGTGTCGCGATCTGGGCACGGTGTCAAGTGAGCAAGGATCGGGTCGTCGCATCCTTAGTGGCGCGCCACAACGGCTCCCGGGTGTGGTGCAAAATGAGTAAGGGTCTTCACACCTACCTCGGTAGGTGCGAACGGTAAAGAAGCTAGTCGAGCCAACTAGAATCCGTTTAGGTAGCTAGAATGTAGGGTCCCTTACGGGTAAGTTAAGAGAGTTAGTGGACACTGCGGTTAGGAGGCGTGTAAATATCTTATGTGTCCAAGAGACTAAATGGAAGGGGCAGAAGGCAAAGGAAGTGGACAATACTAGCTTCAAGCTCTGGTACATAGTGACAACTTCAAATAAAAATAGAGTAGGAGTTTTGATTGATAAAAGCCTCAAGGATGGTGTGGTGGAGATAAAAAGGCAAGGGGATAGGATCATCTTGGTTAAACTTGTCATTAGTGATATGGTCTTAAACGTAATTAGTGCGTATGCCTTCAAGTAGGTCATGATGAGAGTGCTAAGCGGCTTTTCTGGAAAGACTTAGATCACTTGGTTAGAGCTGTCCTTAGTAGCGAGAAGCTTTTGATAGGAGGTGATCTTAATGGCCATGTAGGTACATCAAGTGTAGGTTTCAAGACGGTTTATGGGGGTTTCGGATATGGTAGTAGAAACCAGAAGGGAGAGAAAGTCTTAGACTTTGCTATAGCTTTTGATCTGATGATAGCTAATACTTTCTTTCGTAAGAGATAGTCCCATTTAGTGACCTTTAGTAGCGGCCAGTACTTTAGTCAAATTGACTTTGTCCTTACAAGAAGGAGGGATAAACGAACATGCGTGGATTGTAAAGTGATACCTGCAGAATGTGTGGTCGCTCAACATAAGCTGGTGGTGGCTGACTTCCGCTTTCTAGTGCAAGTTCGTGGGAACAAACAAGCTAGGGTTGTTAGAATGAAGTGGTGGAAATTAGAAGGGGATGCATCAAAGTTCTTTAAGAAAAAGGTCATTGAAGAGGGCCCTCGGAAGGATAAAGACGATGCAAACAACATGTGGGAGAAGATGGCAACATGCATTCGGAAGGTTGCTTCAGAGGTGCTTGGAGTGACCAAAGGGAGCGGATGTGAAAGTGCAATCAAGCCCAAATTGTGGGTTTTGGTGATAATGACCACGCAATTAGAGAACTAATGAGATTTATCGAGATGACAGGCAGGGAATTTATATTCAAGGATGCAACACGAAACGGAGGAGCCCCCAATTACAAATATAGGTAGCTTCAAACTTAAAAGAGGTTTAAGATTTTTTTATATCTTGAATTTGAGTATAGGAAAAGCCATACTATAAAGGGGGACACAATGCTTAAGCTAATATGTGCTACCAAATGCTTAAACAACCACAAGCATCCTTAGATTCACAACCAAGACAATCCACACTTCACTATTACCCTTGCTATCTTGCGGGGTGCAAGCTCCGACTCGCTCGACCCCTTGGGTGCAAGCTCCGACTCGCCCGACCCCTTGGTCGCGGGCTCCGGTTCACCCGACCCTTTGGTCGCGGGCTCCGTCTCGCCCGACCCCGGTCGCGGGCTCCGGCTCGCTCGACCCTTTGGTCGCGGGCTCCGTCTCGCCCGACCCCAAGGTCGCGGGCTCCGGCTCGCCCTACCCCAAGGTCGTCGGCTCCAGCATGCCCGACCCTATGGTCGCGGCCTCGTCTCGCCCGATCTCTTGGGTGTAGTGTCCGTTGGGGGTTGGAGGTATATATACCTTTCCCTTTTCTTTCCAACGACTATCTACGATTTAAGTGACCGTTGGGGGCTGAGGGGTATATACACCTTTCCCCTTCCTCCCCAACGGAGACAACTAACTCTGCCTCTTCTTCCTCACTTGAGCACGTCCAAAGCAGAGCAGGAGCCCTATCTCTCTCACTCCATTGTTGACCTTAAGTCCCTAAGCAAATCTATTGATTTTCCCATCAATTCTTGAGGAAAAAGGGTCCAAACTCGATTAGAGAGCAGCTCTATTGATTCCCAAACTCTAAAGAGCACTTGATTCATGTTTTGGCCGGCGGTTGTTTTGTTACTCTTGGAGCTTGTGAAAGGTCCTTGTTGGTTTTGGTAATTGAGTGACAACCTAGGTGGACTAATTGTGTTTATGTGAGATACACAGGTGATTAGTCCATAGGTACATGTGTATGAGCAACATATGCCATGGAGGTAAAAATGGCTTGGAGATGTTGCAAAGCTCACACATGTGATGATGAAGGAGATTATTGCACATGAGACATGACATTGAGTCATGTGATCAAGGTGGAGAAGATCAAGACAAGACTTGGCTTGATGGACCGGTTGCAAGCGTGAAGGGCAAGTCCAAGGCTTTGGAGTGATGGACCGCGTGGCGGTGAAGCTTGAGCAAGACTTGGCGCCGATGGACGATAGCAACGGTGAAGAGCAAGTAGAGTCAAGATCGATGAACCAATATGATCATGTGATGATATGAAGTGGATCATATCATTGTTGATCATGTTGGTGCATGTGTTGCATCGACATTGAAGGAGATGGAATGGAATGCGCAAGGCAAAGGTATAACCTAGGGCATTTCATTTCACCGGTCATAGGTGTGTAGAGAAGTTTATGACCGGGTTTAGGATAGATGGCCGTACTATCAAGAGGGGCAAACTTGTTTGCATATCGGTCATCTAGTGCCACTCGAGTGATCTAACTTTGCATTGTCGCTAGGATCGAGTGGCATGGCAAGTTGAGTGGCTAACATCCTTTGGGAAATGATTGTGAAAATGCTAACACACATACACATGGTGGTGTACACTTGGTGGTGTTGGCACATTTACAAAGGAGGTGGTGTTTGCAGGGGTGAGATGGGTTTGGGTCCCTCTCTCCCTCCCGCCGGCGGGATTCGGCGCTTTCGGGAAAATAGAATGCCTATTTTCTATTGCGCCGGATGCAAGTTCTTGTGGTTAGCACATTGGAGCAAGGGTGATGAAGTTAGAAGTGAAAACGAGTTAGTCGCGAAGATGCTGGCGTCGGTCAACTGACCGGACGCTGGATCTGAATGCACCGGACACTGGCAGGCTGTGTCCGGTCAGGCTGACGTACGATAACGCAGAAGCTGGAGTGTGATCGGACGCTGGCTGCGTCCGATCAAGTGTGACCGGACACGTCCGGTCGAGGTCGGTACCTTACTGGAAACGACCGGACGCTGGGGGTTCAGCGTCCGGTCAGTTGAAAGCTGCTACGTCCGGTCAGGTCAAGTGACCGTTGGAATCAGGACACGTGGCCGTCTGCGGGCGACCGGACGCTGAGGTCCAGCGTCCGGTCAACACGACCAGAGCGTCCGGTCGGCCCAACCGTTGCCCAGTGAAGGGGTAACGGCTAGTTTAGCCCTTGGGGCTATAAATAGAAGTGGCCCTCGGCCATGGCTGGTGCTGAGCACCTAAGGGGACTTAGTGTACATGCTTGTGAGTGCTTGGGAGCCCTCCATCACACATATACTTGATAGTGATCATTCGATTGTGTGAGTGAGCGATTCTAGTGCGATTGCATCGTGAGGTTGCATCGAGTGACACTAGGTGGTCGTGTTGCAAGCCGGTGGTGCTTGTTACTCTTGGAGGTTGCCACCTCCTAGACGGCTTAGTGGTGGTCTCCGTCCGAAGCCCGCAAGAAGCTTGTGCGGGCGCTCCCGAGAAGTGCTTGTGAGGGTACTTGTGTTATTATTTCCATGAGAGTCGCGAAGAGCAACTTTAGTAAAACGTGTCATTGAGCTACCCTCACTCAAGGGGTAGGTTCTTGCGGTGCCCGACGTGCGGGCTTAGCGGGTGATGCTAATTAGCCAGCCAACCACCAAGTGAGCGATCGACACAATGGGGACTAGCGTGTTGGCAAACACGTGAACCTCGGGAGAAAAATCATCGTGTCAACCTTGTTCTTCCCGTTGGTTTGCATCCCCATTACACAAGCTTGCAATTACTTTTATATATCTTAAGCTTGTGTAGTTGCTCTTGTAATTAGTTAGCTTGTGTAGCTTACTAGTTACCTTCTTGCTTGTGTAGCATAGAAGTAGCTCCCTTGCGTGGCTAATTTGGTTTTAGTAACCTTGTTAGTCACATTGCTTAGTTTGTGTAGCTAAGTATTTACGCTCTCTAATTAGGCGTTGGTT